TTAGGATGACCTGGGACAAAAGCCTTCTTTCGCTGTTGCTTTTTAAATTCGACATAAAAACACTAGGGGAGGCAATCCATCCTATGATAAACAATTACATACAGGTAATCCGGGACTTATAACATTTCATTTAGCAAATAATTGAAGTTACAACAGCACTAAAAAAAAAAGTGACTTATGACCATTTTTCACACAATAATTGCAGCATCCCCATTGTCATGAGATCAAAATTGAGATGCTTGGCAATTGACTACTTGTGAAAGTTACAGGGTCCTGGGGTCCTGTGATCTCCTTTTGTGATTGAGGTCCTGGACTCAGGGCTCCTGCTTGGGGGTCCTGGACTCAGGGCTCCTGCTTGAGGAGGTCATGGTTAGGGGAGGGGCTTTGCACAGATTCATCTGGTGCACCCATTGTGTCCTTTCCTGGACCTGGCCTTGCAAAGTGGGTCATTCATGCCTTGATGTCTGCCCTATGCCACCCAGAAACCTCAACTGGTTCAGAACGCAGCAGCGCATACAGTAATGGGGGGGGGCTCAGGTTATGAGGGCCTCTAGGTTGCCCATATCACACCTTTGTAGTGCGAGCTGCATTGGATTCATTTCTTTAAGGTGCAATTCAACATGCTGGTCATCACCTTTAAAGCTATTTCTTTTATCGTACCAATAGCACTTAAAATTATATACCACCCCAAAGTGCTTTATAGCACTCTCAGCTTACAGAGTCAGCATACTGTCCCCAACAATCTGGGTCCTCATTTTACCAAATTTAGAAGGATGGAAGGCTGAGTCAACCTTGAGCCCCATCAGGGTCAAATTCCAGGCTGTGGGCAGAGTCAGCCGGCAACACTGAATTCTAACCACTGAGCCAAGAGGGCACCTGTCATTATTGTCCCTCCTTTTATTATTTCTGCATCTATTTTACCAGATCAGATAGGGTGGGCACACACTAGCCCCTTCCCTTAACTATTGCCATCTGATAGGAGCTAGGAAGTGATCCTTTTCATTGCAGACCCTGCCCTATGAAACACTCTTCCCCCTGAAGTGTGGCAGGCCTTTATCCTCCTAGTCTTCCGTAAACTATGGAAGATCTAGCTTTTCCCCTAAACACTGGGATAAGAAGAGGCGCCTGCACATGAGAAGCTTAAAATGGCACCAGTTTTTTTTTTTATGCATTTGGCTTTAATACGGTTTTTAAGTTAACAGTTGATTGGGATCCAGCCAAAGTTTGTTATTAGATGGAAGGCTACATAAATCTTTTAAATAAATCAAGAGGAAAAAGAGATGAATACGAAGCGGCCCATCTGCAAGTTGCTTGAGGCACTGAAGATCTACACATTTATTTATTAAATTTATATGCCACTAAATTTATATACCTTGCTCAATTGTAGTACCTGTGAGAGGGATCTCGGAGTCCTAGTGGACAATCATTTAAATATGAGCCAGCAGTGTGCTGCAGCTACCAAAAAAGCCAACACAGTGCTAGGCTCCATTAACAGGGATAGAATCAAGATCACGTGAAGTATTAATACCATTTTACAATGCCTTGGAATACTGCATCCAACACTTGGAATACTGCATCCAGTTTTGGTCACCACGATGTAAAAAAGATGTTGAGACTCTAGAAAGAGTACAGAGAAGAGCAACAAAGATGATTAGGGGACTGGAGGCTAAAACATATAAGGAACGGTTACTGGAATTGGGTATGTCTAATTTAACGAAGAGAAGGACGAGGGGGGACATGATAGCAGTGTTCCAATATCTCAGGGGCTGCCATAAAGAAGAGGGAGTCAAGCTATTCTCCAAGGCGCCTGAAGGCAGGACAAGAAGCAACAGCTGGAAACTAATCAAGGAGAGAAGCAACCTAGAACTAAGGAGAAACTTCCTGACAGTTAGAACAATTAACCAGTGGAACAACCTGCCTCCAGAAGCGGTGAATGCTCCAACACTGGAAGTTTTTAAGAAGAGACTGGACAGCCATTTGTCTGAAATGGTATAGGGTTTCCTGCATGAGCAGGGGGTTGGACTAGATGACCTCCAAGGTCCCTTCTAACTTTATTNGAAGCAACCTAGAACTAAGGAGAAACTTCCTGACAGTTAGAACAATTAACCAGTGGAACAACCTGCCTCCAGAAGCGGTGAATGCTCCAACACTGGAAGTTTTTAAGAAGAGACTGGACAGCCATTTGTCTGAAATGGTATAGGGTTTCCTGCCTGAGCAGGGGGTTGGACTAGATGACCTCCAAGGTCCCTTCTAACTTTATTATTATTATTATTATTATTATTATTATTATTATTATTATTATTATTATTATTATTATTATTAATCCTGAGGTTCACTTTTCCAATTTAAATCCTTGCAAAGAGAAAGATAAACCTGTTTTGAGGAAGAATGGCATCAGGGGAAAAACTCGTTAAGAGACAAGAGACATCACACCAGAAACATCTCACTCTCAGGATTCAGAGGTTTATTAAAATTTAGACCACACAAGAAGTACTTACATACCATTTTACCCATTGCAAGGAGGGCCAAACCTTCAAGCAGTAGAGGGGGTGGCTTGAGGCCAATTGGCCCCCACCCCCTCAGTGCCACTCTTTTATACCCTAAAAATCACAAACACATGACTTCTGGGATTGCAACTGTCAGTGGGGTAAGTTCCTTGTTCTTGTTCTTGTTCCTACCACAACTTTCCATACCTCCACCCCAACCCTTTTGTGACGACACGTGTCAGAACAGTAATATCGGTGGGGTATTGCAAAAGATGCATACTATTCCAAAAAGAGTTCCTCAATTCCCATACCTTCTGCTTCCTAATTCTATAGATAAGAAAAAATGCACATAGGCCAAAGTCTTACAAAACAATAAGGCCACAGTTTTATACTTTGGTTCAATATCTCCAGCAGGCCCAAGGCCTGCACTTAATACCTACGATCCTGATATCTAACAAAAAGGTGCTAAACTAGATATAAAGAGATTAGTGATGGTTTATATATGTGTGTGTGTGTCTGTCTGTGTGTGTGTGTATGTATATGTATGTATGTATGTATATGTATATATATATACTAGCTGTACCTGGCCACGCGTTGCTGTGGCTCAGTCTGGTAAAAGAGTGTGTTGCTTTTACGTCCAACAGATAGCGCTGTTTTTCAAAAAAAGCATGTTTTTACCTGTCACAGGTGCGACATCTATATAATATAGGTATATAAAAACACGTGCGTATTCGAATGCAACATTGTGTTAAAATTTCAAAGCAATCGGTGAAGAACTTTCAGAGATTTAAGATTTTGAACAAACGAACATTTACATTTTTATTTATATAGATTTCCTTTCACAGTAGTTAGTAAGGCCAAGAGGCCTGGTTAACTTCTAATTTGAACAAAAGCAAGAATCACCTTTCCGAGACTCCCAGACGATACAAATTGCCATCAACCTTGCTAGAGGTTCCCCGCAGGCTTTGCATTTTGCCATTTGCTATGTATGGGGTTTATTGGTTTCTGTATTAAGGTTTTATTGCTGCAAATCGTCCCCCTTTATGATACCGTGTTTCCCCGAAAGTAAGCCCCAGCTTGATTTTTGGGGTGGGCCTAATATAAAACACCCCCCCAAGGTAAGCTCTAGTTTGGGGCGAGGGCACTCGCTTACCTTACCGGTAGGACCGCCACAGTCAGGCCTCTTAAGATGTTGCTTCTGAGGCAGGCCGGCCCGAAGCACCATGCAATGGCAATGGCATGAAGCGCCATGTGGCGTCCTGCAAAAGGCAAAAGGTCAATCAATTCCAACTTCTCACAAAAAAAAAATCTCACAAAGGTGGAATTGATTGACCTTCCCCCCCCAAAAAACTTTTTGTTTCCCTGCACGCAGGGACAGCGGATCATGAAGGAGAAATGGCACGGGGCTGGAAGTCAGGTAAGGAAAGAAATGCAATTCCTGGGGGAAGCTCCACGGGGAAGGGGTAGCTGGCATGGGTGCTGACGGCAGGACACCAGCCCGCTTCACCACCCTCCCTCCAGCGCTCCACCTGCCGCTTTGGTCGGCCTAGTTGCTCCCACCTCAGCGCCCTTCCTGCCACTGCCCAGCATGGCCGCCCTTGAGCTGCAGGGGCTGGCCTGGCACAGGAAGGGCACGCGCCCCGCCCGCCCGTTTCACCACCCTCCCTCCCTGAGCCTCCGGCGCTCCACCTGCTGTGCCTAGCCGCCCCCACTTTGGCACCCTTCCCGCCACTGCCCAGCAGGGCCGCCCCCGGGCTGTGGGGGCTGGCCTGGCATGGGAAGGGCATGCACCCCGCATGCACCAGTACCGTACCGGGTCCGCCACCACTCTTTTCCCGCCATGTTGTTTCTCCACCCCATGCACAGGGCCCACGCCACCCTACGTGTTCACGGCCTACTGGTATTGGCAAAAAGTAAGCCCTCCCCAAAAGTAAATCTTAGTGCTTGCTTCAGAGCCCAAAAGAAAGTTAAGACCAGGTCTTACTTTCGTGGAAACACAGTATGTAGAAATAACCACTGTGTAAAACCTTACTAAGGCTTACTAAATACCACTCTATAAAGCCTTAATAAGACCACACCTAGAATACAGCAACCAGTTTTGGTCTCCACACTATGAAAAAGATGTTGAGACTCTAGAAAAAGTGCAAAGAGTAACAAAGATGATTAGGGGACTGCAGGCTAAAACGTATGAAGAACAATTACAGGAGTTTAGCATGACTAGTCTAGTGAAGGACCAGGGATGACATGATAGCAGTCTTCCAATATTTGAGGGGCTGTCACAGAGAGGAGGGGTTCAACCTATTTTTCAAAGCACCTGAAGGCCTGACAAGGAATAACGGATGGAAACTGATCTAGGAGAGATTCAACCTAGAAATAAGGAGACATTTTCTGACAGTAAGAACAATCAAACAATAGAACAGCTTGCCTTCAGTAAGCTGTGTGTGATAAGGGAGGAACTTTGTGTGAAACTGTCTACAATCTGTGTATTTGAATGGTTACTCCCCTATGTGTAACCTTACATGACTTATAAGGTTAGACTTAGTACTGAAATCTTTCCCACAATCCGGACATTCATATGGTTTCTCTCCTGTGTGAGTCCTCCAGTGTATTACCAAACGGGAATTCCAACTAAAACTTTTCCCACATTCAAGACACTCATATGGTTTTTCTCCTGTGTGAGTTATCTGGTGTTTCACCAGGTATGAATTCTGTCTGAAACTTTCCCCGCAATCTGGACACTGATATGGTTTCTCTCCTGTATGAGCTCTCTGATGTCTCACCAGGTTAGAATTCTGACTGAAAGTTTTCCCACAATACAGACATTCATATGGTTTCTCTCCCGTGTGAGTCCTCTGATGGATCACCAGCTTGGAATGCCAAGTAAAAATTTTCCCACAATCCAGGCACTCATTCAGTCTCTCTCGTTTGTGACATTTCTGGTGCTTCACAAGTTCAGACTTGCAACTGAAACGTTTCCCAAACTGTGGACACTCATAGAGTTTCTCTCCCGTATGATTCTTCTGATGAATCACCAAGTTGGAATTCCGAACAAAACTTTTCCCACAATGGCATTTATATGGTTTCTCTCCTTTGTGAGTCCTCTGATGTCTGACAAGGTCAGAATTGCAAATAAAACATTTCCCACAATCTGAACACTCATATGGTTTCTCTCCTGTGTGAATCCTTTGGTGTATCACCAGGTCAAAATTCTGAGTGAAACTTTTCCCACAATCTGGACACTTATATGGTTTCTCTCCTGTGTGAGTCCTGTGATGTCTCACAAGGAGGGAATTCTGAATGAAACTTTTCCCACAATACAGACACTCATATGGTTTCTCTCCTGTGTGAGACCTCTGGTGTTTCAGCAGGTAGGAATTCTGACTGA